TTGGCATGGGGAAGATGTTCAGGGTGGAATAATGAAGCATCCATCTGCCCTCTCAGGACCTCCTCTCAGCCTGCGGTGGTGACCTCTGCTCTGCCCTCCCCTGGCTGGCTCTGCTTTCTGCTGACTTCAGCTACAACACACTGACCGCCTTAGACAGCTCCCTGGTGAGTGCCTCAGAGGGAGGAGGGTTTTGAAGAAGGACAGGGATGAGTCTTTAGGGAGGAGAGGGCCAGCCGGTTGACAGGGTATCCTTGTAGCAAAGACCGACTCTCTGCCTCCTCTTCTCATCCCTCTCAGCGCCTCTTGTCATCTCTGCGCTTCCTGAACCTGAGCCACAATCAAGTTCAGGACTGCGAGGGCTTCCTGATGGTGAGTATAAGCAGCCTGGCGGGCTGGGGCATCTTGAGCCTTTGATTGCTCTGTGCTCACTGTTTCTCCTGGGCCCGCTTTTCCTCCCACCTTACTCTTGCCACCTGGTGGAGCCATATCCTGGAGGTGGTACTGTTTGGGGCTCGGGCTCTACCCTAAGACAAATCAGAGTTCAAATCTCAACTTCTGATACCTGTATGACTTGGAGCAAATTAGTTAACCTCTTGATTTCTTCACCTGTAAAGTAGAAATCATAGCAGTCCTGCTTTTTAGTATTAAAATGATTATGGAGAGTATCGAGTGTTGCTTAGCCTAGTGCCTAGCTCAGAAACTGGTAGCTTCCAGGGACATGGACCAGCTGAAAGAAAAACATTCCAGTTATTGGGCATGGCAGATCTCCCTTTCCTCAGCGTCCCTTCTTTAGCACAACCACCCATATCTCTGACACACTCTGGATCTTGACCCTGCAGACTTTTCATACCCCCACCCCACCCCCAGCCTCTGTCATTCTCCTAGGCCCTTTGCACATCCTGCCCCATCCCCGTCCCCAGAACCTTGAGAGAAAGCGTTTTCTGCAGCACATCGAAGAGGAACTGAAGCTGGAGGATGATGGGGGAGTCGGCGGGGTGGGAAGCTACCAGTTTCTCAGAAACTGGTAGAAACTGATGAACCTTTATCCTGTGTCCCTGTGTGAAAGATAAACAAAGCCAGTCACTAGTTAAAATAAGGACAGATTTTAATCAGTAATGAACTATTGCAATAGAGGTATTGTGTAGAGGTGACTGGACATTTTTAAGAGAGAATGAGGGAGTGGGCAGGGGGAAGGAATGGTTGAGGCTTGAGCCCAGTCAGGAAAATGGAAATTTACGAAAAGTAAATAAAGCGGAGGTTGGTCCATGTGAAACTCATCTGGGATTGCTAACTGAGTGGCACTTATCAAAGTTAGGCTCCTACCCTCCCACACAGACTGGGAGACAGGGGCCCTATCTTTGGATGTTGGCTGGAACAAACAAATTCTTTTGGCAGTCTTGAGTTTTCCCTGGGCAGGAACTTAAGGGGGCTAGAGTCACCACTTTAGGCATGTGGCCTTGAGCTTTTAGGAACTGTGCTAATGTTTGCCCAGGATTTTTAAATTTAATTTATAATTTTTTTACTATGCAAACCTGGCTGATCAAGATTTTTAATGTAGGCCATGGGGGAGTTGAAAAAAAATCTGTGCTAAATATTGTT